AGAGAGAGAGAGAGAGAGAGAGAGAGAGAGAGAGAGAGAGAGAGAGAGAGAGAGAGAGAGAGAGAGAGAGCATCTACCAATGACAGAGATATATCGTTTTCCTCGCGGGTCAGACAGAGCTGTAGCACTGGTTCCAATTCCTAGTACAACAGCAGAAGCCATGGCCGTGAAGCTGCAAGCTTGATTTGTAATGACCTGCCAAAACACAGACTGAGAACACTGCTGATTTCTTAGTTTTGCAGTTGGAATGTATGCCTTGCTGAGATTCCGGCTTTCTGCTTAGTTTCCTACTTGCTGGTTCGTGTGCCTATCTGAGTCCTTGTCGATCTGAGTGTGTGTGTGGCCCGCCAGGGCACTTGTTTGTTTGGGAGGCCCACGGGGCCGACACTTACATGTGGCCGTGATTTTGAGGTTGCAGCGGGGAAAAACACTCAAGTCGCCGAAGGGGTAGCTTAGGGCACAGTCAAGTAGCGTAGTGTCGGCACCATAGGTACATGAGTAGCACTAGGCCAAGCAAAAGAAGACAAAAAGTTAGCATTTTTAGAGGCCCAGTAGAGGTAGGTCCAGAGGTAGGCAGGCACCAGTCCAAGTAGCCTGACTCTAGGGCCTGTGCGAACGATAATAGGGCCAGCAATGATGTTTCTCTCCAAAAGGGAGGAGGTACCAGCATCGGGCGGCCGAACTCAGTTGGCCAACTGAAATGGGACAATTTCGAGCTTAGGTTAGTCAGACGGTAGGGTTTCGAGGGCTGGTGTTAAGGACTGAGCGGTGAAAAGACAGGGCACCAAGGTCAACCCCTGTTTTTTGCCTCGTCGCTCACTAATGCAAGGAACATGAATATGGACGAAGCACAGACATCCAAAATGCAAAATCACACTGAAGTCCAAGTAGTCAAAGCCAAAGCAGATATCACATGGAAACAAGTAACCATCCAATTGAGAATGATACAGAAGAATCGTGAGTCAATGTCCATGCCCAATAGGGCAACACCAACAGCATAACCCAAATGTAGCTCTCTCTTGTGAATGGCGCCAGGCGCCCTATCTACTCTACAGCCTATCCTACAACTACAGCAATGAAAAGCAACCACACGACTTGACTACCAGCGAGTGATGATGTCAACACCAATGCCGACCTCCACCTCCACCAGGTACGTGTCCTCTTCCCCACACTCTCCCTTGTTACCCACACAGCGCCCTTCACCTCCGAAGACCACCTTCGCCCTTCACCCTCACTGCACCCTCATGCGGCCCGGCTATGGCCACCAGTGCCTTGCATGCAGGCAGCGCCCTACCGCCTAGCGCTTGCCTGCTTCACCTCAGCGCAGCACACATGCATCCGCGCAGCGTGCCCGCAATGCCAGCATTGGCCAAGATCCCTGCCCACTCCCCCTGCTTGCCTATATGCCAGTGCAGCGTGTGGGCGGCCTCCCTTCAGCCTGTGCCCGGGACCCAGACGCTGAACCCAGCCCGATACAGTTAGGCCCCGAGGCAATGCAGTTGCGCCTCTTTCATCATGGCCTGCGGCCAGATACAGACAGTGGGCCGATTTCCCTTTGGCATTTTCGGCCTCTATACCCAACATGCATTGTCGGCCTCACATTCGAGTGCCCAGAGCCTAACTAACTCAGAGGCCCTGGGCATTTCAGCATTTGCTGAAATCCGAGACTCGGTGCACTCCAACCAACTGGCGTGCTGCAACTGTATGGACCCCACTTCGTGAAAGGTTGGCACAGAGGGCTCTTGTTGATTTGCTGGCCCGCCTTCACTTAGGGCGGGCACGAGGCTTGTTGGGGCCTTAGCCCAGAACATGTACATCATGGCAAGGCCCCTACTTGAGGGCTTAATCCTCACATTCCATCCCCCTTAGCTTCGAAAGTCCGCTGAGATGCTTACTTCGCAGGTGCCTTCCCTTTGAGTTGCGTCTCAAATTCTGCCACCACCTAAGGAGCTGTCTCAATCAGTTCCTCCCTGGTAAACCATCGATCTTCTTTCGGATCCGTATGATGCCTGAATCTGACGCGGTACTCTCTCTTGGGCTTAGGAGGTCTTCCTCGACCCAGAGGCTTCGGTACAGGCATATCCCTGGGATCCACAATGTCGTCGATGTCCACTTGTCCATCCATGGTTGGGGGCAGCATCGATCTCCTGGAAGGGAATTGGTCTGTCTCAACGAAAGGTGCAAGCTTTGAGGCATAAAAGACTGGGTGAGTGGGTAGGTGTCCAGGGACACGAATGACATATGTGGGACCATCCATCTCATCTCCCACTATATTCAGGACTTCCCAGGGACCAAAGTACTGAGGCATTAGTTTGCAAGAGATTTCGAACTCCTGTCCTAACTCACTAGCCTTGACCCAGACTCGTTCCCCTACTTGAAATGTGGACTGTCTGCGATGTTGATTCTCAGAAGCAATCATTGCTTGCCGAGCTTTCTTCATATGCTCGACAGCCTCTTGCAGCAACTTCTCATACTGCACACCATACTCTAATGTGCCTGGAGTTGCAGCGGGTCGGTTTTCAGGTAGGAGGAAGTCTAGTGCTGATCTAGGCTTCCATCCCAAGTGCAACTGATTAGGACTAACGTCGGTACTACTATGAATAGCATTGTTGTACAAGCTGGCGATAAGAGGCAACTGCTCATCCCAATCATCTTGGTTGGGCTTGATGTAATGCCGCAGCAAGTGTTGTACGACTCTGTTCATTTGTTCGGCTTGTCCGTTGGCTTCAGGATGATTCCCTGAAGTCATTTGAAGTTGACTTCCCATCTGTTCTACAGTCTTCTTCCACAGTTCACTTGTGAATCGGACATCTCGGTCACTAACGATTGACTTTGGTAAACCAAAGTCACGCACCCAGTTGTCTTTGAACAACTTGATGACGAAGTCAGTTCTTGCGGTCTCTGGCATAGCCACTAGTCAAGCGTACTTGGTGAATCGGTCAATGATGACGAAGATGTGCCTCTTGCCACTCTTACTAGTGACCACGGTGTCCATGAAATCCATGGAGACACTATGTCATGGACCAGCAGGAATAGGCAAAGGCTTCAACAACCCAAGCGGTGCTTGAGTTCGCGGCTTGTCCCGCTGACAGACCTGACAGGTCTCTACGTATTTCTTTGCGTCATCAAACATACCAGGCCACCAAGATCGTTGTACTAAGTTAGCACTCGTCTTCTTGCAGCCAACGTGCCCAGTTGCGTCATGACATTCACCTAAAAATAAACTACGCAAGGGTTCACTAGATGGAACTACTAACCTTTTCATTCCTGCCTTATCAAGATAGAGTAACCCATCCACCATCACAAACTCACTTTCTGTGGCCTTGTCTTTTGCCTGAAGCTTGCGAATGATGTCCATCGTGACAGGGTCTTCCTGATAGGCTCCCACCAATGATTGAGTTACTTCTTCAGATACGCCAAAGACAGAAACTAGCGCACCTAGGTAGTCTGCTATACGGGATAGCGCGTCTGCAACCTTGTTGTACTCTCCCTTCAAGTACTCAAGCTTGAAGTCATATTGATCTATGACCTCAATCCATCGCTTGAGTGCATCAGAAAGAGTCGGTTGAGTCTTGATCCATTGGAGGGTATGATGATCAGTCCTCAGATAGAAGAACCTTCCCAAAAGGAAGCGTCTCCAATGGACAAGTGCCTTGTAGAGAGCGTAGAGTTCCCTTTCGTAGGTGGACTTAGCCAATTTCTTCGATGGCATCTTCTTACTCATGTACTCAATCGGTCTCAACTTTTTCCCATCCTGTTGAGCCAGCACTGCGCCAATGCCGTATTGGCTTGCGTCAGTGGTCACTATGAATGGCTTTTGCGGATCGGGAACCATGAGAACTTCATGATTCACGAGTGCATGCTTCAATCTCTTGAAAGCACCCTCGCACTCATCACTCCAGTCCCACGATGTGTCAAGTCGAGTTAAATCATTCAAAGGAGAGGCGACTGTAGAATAGTTCATAACGAAGTCTGTATAGTAGCCGCACATTCCTAAGAATGATCTGACCTCAGTGACTGTCTGAGGTCGTGGCCAGTCTCGAATACTAGCCACCTTCGCATCTTCCGGCCTAATTCCCTCCGCGGATACTTCATGACCCAAGTATAGTATCTTAGTGCGACCAAACTCACACTTCTCTAAGTTGACCTTATACTTGTGTTGTCGCAGGAGTGAGAGGACTGTCTCAATCATGTCGTGCGTGCTCCTCGGTAGAATTACTAAAGATCAGAATGTTGTCAAGGTATACCACGACAAACTTATCTAAATGGTCATGGAAGATCCGATTCATAGCGTGCTCGAACGTACCCGGCGCATTACAAAGACCAAAGTGCATCACTACAAACTCATACAGACTATAACGCGTCTGAAAAGCTGTCTTTTGCTGGTCCTCAGGTCTTATTGCGATCTGGTGATATCCGGATTTCAAGTCTATCTTACTATAGTACTTGCATCCCTGCACCCTATCCAATAGGTCATCTATGCGAGGTAGAGGCTCTGTGTTCTTCACAGTGATGGCATTGAGGCCTCTATAGTCAATGCACATCCTCAAAGTACCCCCCTTCCTCGGTACGAATAGCACGGGTGATCCGTAAGGGGAAGTACTAGGCCGAATCCATCCCTCCTCTGGCAGCTCCTTGAGTTGCTTCCGAAGTTCATCTAACTCGGCAGGGGCCATCCTATAGATCCGTCCGTTTGGGGTCTTACTCCCCGGAATGATTTCTATAGCATGGACGACTTCCCTATCAACAACTCCTGTGGGCTCCTCGAACAGATCAGGGAACTTAGCAACGACGCGTTCTATCTCTGGGGGTGTTTTAACGACCTCCCCCTTCTCAGAGACATAAACAAGGTACATACCCTCCTCTTGGTTTTGCTTATAGTAGTTGTAAAACGCGGATGCGCACAAGCAGCCATAGGTATCTATAATACTACTGGCCTTGAACTTGGTCAATCTAACAGTTCGGCCATCGGGCAACTTGTTTGAGCACCTTCTTATCCCAGTCGAACTGGGGCTTAGCAACTTCGAGGTAGTACATTCATAACAGCATATCAAATGGCAAGTCGTCGCTAACCAAGAACGAGATCTTATGGTTAAGCTTACCTCCTCCATAGGAGAAGGTACAGACTACGTCCTTGATGTAGTCCGTCACTATCATGCGCTCCTTGTTGGCCAAAGTAGATGCTACTGGTCTACTGAGGTGTTGTACCCGGTCCTGTAGGTGCAGCCTTTCCAAACAGTCGCGACTTATATAATTCCGTGTGGATCCGATGTCTATAAAGGAACCATATTTGCGGCCTCCTACATCCACTTCCACCACGAAATGTTCCCCTCTAGGACCCTTCTTCAGCGCCACCCAAGACTCGCGAGGGTCCTTGTTTGACCATTCGCCTTCTAAGTCTTCTAAGGGTTCAGACACATCTAACGTACAGAGCATAGTTTGGTCTAGATGCATCTGCGTGGCGCTTTGCGCCTCCTGCGGATTATGCCATCGAGCTTCTACCATGTCCATGAATTGGTCTAAAGTCAAAGACTTAGCCCAGTCCGCCATGCGTCGCCCGTACCCGACCTTCACAACTACACCATCTAAACATTTGGCGGCCTTACCCTCTAGGTAAGACGCCGCAGTTACCACTTCGTCCTCAGGCAAGGTCCTCTTTGCCTTCACCAAAACCGGGACCGTTCTCAACCATGTGTTGAGTTCCTCGTCCTTTCTCTCGCCTGAGAAGGCAAGAGGTGGTTTCATTGGGGTCTTGGGATACCATTGACCTTGCGGCTGTCCAGATTGCTGAACAGGTTGTTGTGGCGGAGTAGCTATCACCACTGGACCCGAAGAAGAAGATGCAATAGTCTGTGCGGCTGCTGCAGATGTGCCACGTGGCTGCGTGCCAACTTGAACGGGAAAGGGGCCTGACATCGCCGATAATGGCAACGGCAATTGTGCTGGTGGCCTAAATCCTGGTCTTGTCAAAATGTCCAGGATCTGGTCCAAAGTGCTCTGCATGAAGTCCAACCTACTGTCTACGTGCGCATGCAGGGACAACATGTTGTTCCTCAACACTTTGATGGGCTCATTCATTCCAAAGTCGTCCATACCCTCTAACTCAGCCTTGTCAGCCGCTAACGTTTCAAGCCTCACTGTTCTACTCTTTATCTCTTTTTCTCTATCGGTAGCTTCTTTCAGTTCCTTCTCTAATCGTACACGGATCCTTTCGACCTGTTGGAGCTCCCTCATCTCCCTTTCGCGAGGAGTCAACGGGCTGAACTKCGAGCCCGCCATTTGACTTGTAGACTGTCTAGAACCTGTTGAACTGGAAGTGCCCGTGGACCCTGTTGGCATTCCAAACTGGGGTCCAGACGAGAACGCAACTGAAGTTGCAGCGGAGGATATTGCAGAAGAAGTCATGGCTGCTGCCCTGGCTGCTGCTGCAGCCTGTTCCCTAGCTGCAACGTTTGCTGCTGCTCTCGATGTTGCATGAGCACGGGCTCTGCGTTCGGCACGAAGCCGTCTTTCTTCTCCCTCGTCTAAGGTCCTGAACACATACGGGATCCTACTTGATCTTGCACGTGTTAGTCTACCATCGTCAACTCCCTCCTCGTCGATGTCTGATCCGTTCATTAATTAGGCAAACATTATCTGCACTAGAATCCCCTAGTGGAATCCTACCGCAACATGTGTCTGACCGGCACCTAATCTTCTAGTAATGGTTGTGTCCGGCAAGTTCCCTACTGTACCGATCAAGTGGCATTCCTCAACATTCACACATATTGTCTACGTAGTCTAAATGCACTTTGACTGGTTCACTTACAGCAGCACAAGCTAGAACTGGCTATGGTAGTATACTTCAGTCCTACTCTAGTTTGTCTGTGAGGTGTTAGCAGTTTGTCCACCGACTAATCAAAAGTACAAAAAGACCATGTAGCAGATGTAAGATTGATGGGTATAGTTATGTATTCAGTTGAGCACCAATTGGAATCTACCCTCCCCTCAATCCAACATGCCGAACAGCATCTTTGAGCGAGCAGTGTCTTCGTGTGTATTCCGGCCCATCCCTGTGCCCAAGTTGTCACCGAGCAAGCCAGCCCAACCACTCTTATTTACCCTCGTACGGCGACGAGCCTTCCTGTCCATGTGATCTGGCTGCTCAGGAGGAATTTATAGAGCGCCCCCATCTCTTCAAGAATTCTTTAACGTCGCAGTCAGGACGACGATCGCAGCCAGATTCACAATGGACTCCCAACCAGAAATATTCATAGACGGTCTGGTAAGCGTCTGTCACGGGATGGCACACCCGGAGGAACTTCTATTAGCGCAGCAAGTGCCAAACAGGACAGCAGCCATCGCATGCGTGCACTACTCCCTGTGGGTTGGCATGGTGACCGTGACCCAAGTGCTTCGACCAGGGTCCTTCAGCACCGCCCTTTCTGCTTCCAGATTGCTTCAGGGAAGATTGTCGTCTCTCAAGGTAGCGCGCTCACGACACCTCACCAAGGAGAGGACTCTCAAGTTGGACTCACTTCCTCACGGTAAGAAGAGATTGAGAGAGTAGATAAGGTAAGGGATCAACATACCTGTAGATAGCTGCCCCCAACCACAAATTTTCTCACCAATTGAGCTGATGTTGCATTTGATGACCGGTCATGACCTCGGTACCACCCACAACGCAATGCAGTGCCACCTTAGTCCAATGCCACATCAGCATGCTCTCATCATCAATCAAACATTCCGCTGTATCTCACGGCATACACTGCCGTAATAGCCTTCCGGTGCACCCCTCTCTACCCAGGGCGTGCACCTATAGTAGCCTGGCGTCACAAGTACCCACTGCGAAGAAGCATCGTCAACGCACCAAGTCTGTATAACGCCAGCGTGCCAAAGGTAAGTGGCGATCAAACCRGCTCCAATACCAAATTGCAAGGAACATGAATATGGACGAAGCACAGAAATCCAGAATGCAAAATCACACTGAAGTCCAAGTAGTCAAAGCCAAAGCAGATAGCACATGGAACCGAGTAACCATCCAATTGAGAATGATACAGAAGAATCTTGAGTCAATGTCCATGCCCAATAGGGCAACACCAACAGCATAACCCAAATGTAGCTCTCTCTTGTGAATGGCGCCAGGCGCCCTATCTACTCTACAGCCTATCCTACAACTATAGCAATGAAAAGCAACCAGACGACTTGACTACCAGCGAGTGATGATGTCAACACCAATGCCGACCTCCACCTCCACCAGGTACGTGTCCTCTTCCCCACACTCCCCCTTGTTACCCACACAGCGCCCTTCACCTCCGAAGACCACCTTCGCCCTTCACCCTCACTGCACCCTCATGCGGCCCGGCATGCAGGCAGCGCCCTACCGCCTAGTGCTTGCCTGCTTCACCTCAGCGCAGTGCTGCTCATGCATAGCGCAGCACACATGCATCCGCGCAGCGTGCCCGAAATGCCAGCAATTGCGAAGATCCCTGCCCACTCGCCGTGCTTGCCTATATGCCAGTGCAGTGTGTGGGCGGCCTCGCTTCAGCTTGTGCCCGGGACCCAGAGGCTGAACCCAGCCCGATACAGTTGGGCCCCGGGACAATGCAGTTGCGCCTCTTTCATCAGGGCATAGGGCCAGATTCAGACAGTGGGTCGATTTCCCTTTGGCATTTTCGGCCTCTATACCCAGGATGCATTGTCGGCCTCACATTCGAGTGCCCAGGGCCTAACTAACTCAGAGGCCCTGGGCATTTCAGCATTTGCTGAAATCCGAGACTCGGTGCACTCCAACCAACTGGCGTGCTGCAACTGTATGGACGCCACTTCGTGAAAGGTTGGCACAGAGGGCTCTTGTTGATTTGCTGGCCCGCCTTCACTAAGGGCGGGCACGAGGCTTGCTGGGGCCTTAGCCCAGAACATGTACATCATGGCAAGGCCCCTACTTGAGGGCTCAATCTTCACACTGACACTAACCCTCGTTTTATGCAAACGGGTATGCTACTTTATTTCACCCTTAATGTGCCTTCTATCGTCTTATTTAACTCTATTTCTATTCCCTAGTATACTCGGTGGCGGGGACATATGTGGGCTTCGGTGGCGGGGGCATACGTGGGCTTCCGCGCAAGCGGTTTTCTGTGACTGAGCTGATCACGGGAATTTCTTTATTTTAGCGGCAATTAAGGCATTTCAAGATGCAGACCCCAAATTTGAATCTCAGGGTCAAAGTCCCCAAGCCAAAAGAAGGGAGGTCGGCCAGATTCAGAAAGGTTACGTCAGGTACCCCAGAGGTCACGTCCAACGGGTACCCGGTCAACAGTCACATCCCAGAGGCAAAAGTCACATCCCATGGGCAAAAGTCACGTCTCAAAGTCGAAGGTCATATCCCACAGGCAAGGGTCACGACCCAGAATCAAACGTCATGTCCCGCAGGCCCAAAAGCAGCAGCACACCAAGAAAAACACAGGGAGGTACCGGGCCTCAACATTCTGAAGCAAACAGGCCTCGGGAAGCCAGCACCGGGTCCAAGTCAAGCCAAGAGAAGCAGAGGCTGGAACGAGTGAAGGCTCAGTCCAAGTCAATATAGGGACTGGCCAGCCTCATTTCAAACAGATTGCTCATTCGCAACAAGTATGGAAGTGCTGTTGGGCGCTTGTGCACTATCTGCGAGTAGCATGCGCTAGAGCCCTGGCTGGGCAGCACCATGCTGAGGGAGGAAGGCAGCCATAACCGCATAGCTAGTAGTAGGAGGTAGAGCTGAGTAGTAGTGGATGTATCCAGAGTAAAGATCTTCATGCGGGGAGAGAGAGAGAGAGAGAGAGAGAGAGAGAGAGAGAGAGAGAGAGAGAGAGAGAGAGAGAGAGCAAGAGTGCAACAGGGAGAGAGGAGGTCAACCACCTGGACGAGGATGCTGGATTTGGGTTGCTGAACTCTGCGCTGTTGAGCTCCTGGTGCCTGGAACTCAGAAACTGTTTAATATGATAATTCCTTGGAATTTCAAAGCTGCGCGTATCTGCACTTTGTATCTCTGGTCTCCAGCATGGATTTTGTGCGATCTCTCAATGTGCGTGTGTGCTCAAGGTGACAAGCAGTGTGGTTCTGTTTCTCTCCAAAAGGGAGTAGGTACCGGAGTCGGGCGACCAGAGTCAATTGGCCACCTGAAAAGGGACAAGTTCTGCCTGGATACCTGCATACAGCCATATGTGTGTCTGATCGGTGGCCTGGACTGGGTCCATGCAGACTTTGACTCGTGAGCCACAATTTCTGAGCTACAGTTGACTATTGACCTTTTTTGGTCAACTGTCGAGCACAGGGCCTCTGAGGCCTCATTTCGGGACTTTGTTGGAATACGGTTTGGCGCAGGGCCTTGCTGTGGTCTGTGAGCGCCCCCTGGCCGATGACAATGGCATATTTCAAGCGGGTTATTACATTCCTGCCGGCCCAATTTTTGAGTTCCATCGCAGAAACTTTCAGCTTAGGCTAGGTGCCTTTTCAGTCCATGCTCGTATGCAGAAACAATATCGGCAGCAGTAGGTAGAATTTCCTTTTTACTACTAGATGACCTGTTGCGGCTTCGCTCGCAAAAACAGATATGATGGGTGATTAATTCATGGTGTAGGCAACTGCCCAATGCAATCTCTCTCTCTCTCTCTCTCTCTCTCTCTCTCTCTCTCTCTCTCTCTCTCTCTC